GTTGTAATAGTTTTGTATCTAAAATAGATTGTATATGAAACACCTCATGGATTTGATGATGTGCCTTGGATTATAAGAGTTCCAATTAATGAGACTTAGAATGAATTTTTTGAGATTGCAACACCACTAACTAATATACCTTAGGTTTAAACATCAAAAATTAAAAGGACTCATGAAGGAGATAAGCAACCACAAAAAAAGAAGACTATAATATGTGGTGATTTTGATATAATTTCTATAGAAGTTCCTATTAAATCTATCGGACCATCAGTTAATGATGACATGTCCATTCAAATTATATCTTCACATGATGCAATAAAAAATCTTGAAATTAAGAGGAATAAATTCAAGTTGAGTATAAAATTATCAGTTATATATTGTATTATTAATGGCATTTGAGATAGACCATCTATTATAATAGATGAATTATTTACATTTATGATTGCAGAAGCTTTTTTTTTACAAGAAAGATGATCTTGAATCTTTGACCATCGAGGAAGCGATATGTTGCTTTGATTGGTTAAACTGGAAAACTGCCATTGAAAAGGAATATGCTTCTTTGTTTAAGATGAAGTCTTTGGTCCAATTGTGGATACTCTTACTTCTCACCCTATGGGATATAAGATCGTATTAATATGTAAGCTAGATGCTACGAGTCAAATAAACTTTTATAAAGCTTGTCTTGTTGTTTAAGGATTTACTCAATAATTTGACATTGATTATGAATCTATATATTCTCTAATCATGGATTCAATTACATTCCAATATATTATTGGAATGATAGTCCATGCCACTCTTGAGATGCATCTCATGGATGTGAGAACTGCATATTTGTATGGTTCTTTTGATGCAAACATTTTTATGAAAGTTCTACTTGATTTGAAAACAAAAACTCCAAATGCACTTATTCCAAGACAATATTGTGGTATCAAATTACACAAGGCCCTATATGATCTAAAACAATCTAAATGCATGTGGTATCAATGTCTCTAAGATTATTTAATTACAAATAAATTTATAAGTGATCGACTAAGTCCTTGTTTATTTATCAAACAAGTTAAAATTGGTTTTGTGATTATTGTTGAATATGTTGATGATCTTAACTTAGTGGATACTACATCTATATGTGTTGCAACTATTAATCTACTTATCGATGAGTTTGAAATGAAAATGCTAGAAAAAACAACTTTTTGTGTTAATCTTCAGATTATGCATTTCATAGATGGTAGTATTTTTTTCTTCCAATTAATGTATATTAGACAAATCTTATAGAAATTCAATATGATTGATTCTTATTCATTATCAATACCAATGGTTGGATGTAGTTATAATAGCCATGATCTATACCATCCATGCAAAGAGGAAGAAGAAATATTAGGAGATCAATATCCATACCTCACAATGATTGGAGCATTTTTATATTTAGCTACATCCACAAGACCAAATATTGCATTTGCAATTAATTTTCTTATAAGACACAATGCATGTCTAATACTATAACATTGGAATGACATCAAATATTTATTACATTATTTAAAAAATATTGAAGATTAGAGATTATACTACACACAATTTACATATCCAAAATTGGTTGGATATTGTGATGCAAGATATAAATCTGATATTGCAACAACTAAATCTCAAATAGGCTATATATTCTTAAGTCATGGAGTTGCAATATCATGGAAATGAGTGAAACAAACTATAATTGCAACTTCATCCAACCATGCAAAAATTATTGCCCTACATGAAGCATTTTGAGAATATATTTGGTTGCAATAAGTTGATAAAGTCATTCAAACAACTTGTGGACTTTCACATAATGATTCTCCAATTATCTTGTATGAAGATAATAGTACTTGTGTTACACAAATGCAAGTTAGTTTCATTAAAGACAACACGACAAAGCATATTGAACTAAAGTATTTTAGTTATATCCATAACTTGGTTATTGGTCAAGCACTTAAGATTAAGAAAATTGAATTTGTAAATAATCTTGTTGATTTCCTCACCAAAGTTCTTCCTTTGAACAATCATTGCTAACTTACTTATAGCATTGGCATGTGGGGACTTGCTTTTCTTGAGCAAGAAAGTTAATGAATTCTTAAAATGATGTTGTATTCTTTTTCCTTTATTTATAGTTTTTGCTCTTAAATACAATAAGGTTTTTGTAGATAAGGTTTTAATGAAGGAACAGTTGTTGAACTTATAAGATTAAAAAAATATGTAATTATAATTCTATGCAAATTTTATATTATATAAATATTATGACGAGTACGGAAGAGTATTGAAAGCATTAAATATAGCCAACGCTTCCTATAATATTTATTGTAGTTTATAGTAAATAATGTAGCTATAGTATTTGGAATGTAGTGGGGAAAAACTATTTATCTTCTCCCCTCCTCTTTGTATAAGTGAGATAACCATATCAATATACTCTTTCATGTGTGTGTGTATTTTCATGCATATTACATCTAACTACTCTTGTGTCTCTCAAAACATTCTCAACAACATCTATAGCTTTTATTTTTAATTTATTTTATTGCATTGATTAAGTATAATTCTCTTTTTAGCTTTTATTTTGATGATCATGAAAAAAAATTACCAAAAGTAAAAATTAATTCTTAAAAGCATGTTGATCTTTAACAGATAAGGATCTTTCCATGCTTGAATTATTCAAATAATAATAATAATAAACAATCAACCCAACACATAGATAATATTGAATAATTTTGATAGATAGAAGAGGTAAACAAAGTTTGATTTTTTGGGGAAATTATGACAGAATAGTTTATGGAAGTGAGGATCTTTACCATATAGGCTGAAAAATGGATGTACTAAATTTAAAACAAAACATGCATCAGACACAAGTAGGGTTCCCTTTCCAACAGTACTGAATCATCGACACCATGGCCTTTAGCTACATGGTACATAACAAAAAACAAAACAAAATACAACTTTGTAAACAATTGAAAATCAATCAAAACAGAATTAACTCAATATACATCTGAGAATACCTATTCATTTCACCATAGAATGGATGAGTATTTGGTTTAAGTTAGCTCTGTGGTTGAAGTCAATCCAACTTCAAAACGCCGAGCTTATCTGTCTAATTTTTTGTATTGCATTATCAAGTTTAAAACTTATACATAATAGTTCAGTCAATTTCCAAAATTTTATATGTATATATAAAAACCTTCTACAAACTAGTTTTATAACATGTGACAAACAATCCTTGAATATTTTAAAGATGTGTATGTATGAAATTATATCAAATTTTAAATAGAATACAGCATAATAATTAGAGATCTAAAATTTGTAACTGTATCGAAACATAGAAATATATATAGAGAGAGAAAGAGAGAGAGAGAGAGAGAGAGAGAGAGAGTAACAAATAAGGTAATTCTGGAATAACTTGACAAATAAAAAGTTTGTTCTACAAGTAAACATATTATATTCTTTTCATCAATTTTTTTATTAAACAACAAGATATCAATATTAATATGTAGAAGTCTTTGTTTCCATTAATAATATTTAAGGCTCAATTTTCTTAAATATTCCCTAAGAATTGAAGTATTGAAATTTGTCATGAATCAATCAGTATGTGTGGTTGTATCCTTGGATGTTGGAACAGTATTTACTGTTTTAGTTTAACACATCAAAAAACTTGACAACTAAGTATAGTATAGAAGAAAAGATAATTTATCATTAAAATTTTCTTTTTGCATCAAAGAAAGTCGAGCCTAGTATTTTGTGTAATGTTCAATTTTTGTGATCAAATTAAAATTTATGAAAATTAAAGAACAATATGAATTATGCAAAGTAGCAAAAAACTTTCTGTGAAATGGAAAAATGGGAACAGTAAATTGAAGAAATTGTCATTTCAGACTTTATTTGTTATTGCACAACAATTAAAGTTGTTGTTGTCCTGTTTTATTTTTTTATTTTTTTTATTTTTTATTTTTTTATTTTCCCTCCATAATTATAGATTATTAAATTATTTATTTCTCTTGCATAGGAATTGTGCAAAGTTTTAAAATAATTGTAAGATAAGTGATTAACCACTCAGCATGAAATGCATAAGTTTAAGAATCAAATGGAAGGATCTGATACAATGGTTTTTGTAAGCATAGTTCTTCACCATGCATTACTCATATCACTGAATCTTATCGTAGTTTAAGCTATTGGTCTGAAAACAATGTTATACATTTGATAAATTTTAAATTAATTAATTTTAAGTAAAATCAAGAAACGGAAATCAATACAAGAATTCACAACATTTTTGTAACACCTAAAGAATAAAGTAATCAACCGAGAAACCCATTATCCAAACATACAAAGTTACCTTTCTCACATGACAAGTGATTATTCATTTGTTTATTTATTTAGCAGGACGAATGTAAAATAATTGCAATGGAGCCCATGCCTCAGTGCACTGTATGGCGAGCGAGCAAGAGGTTATTTTGCAGTAGAAGCAAGTAATGGGTATTTGCTTCTTCTTATTATTATTATGCAACCAACACTGGCTTCGAGATTCGGTACTCACCCCCACCCCGAAAGCATAATTGGAGACTCGTTCCTGGATTCTATTATCAACTCGCCACTACTCCAGGGGTACTTAGGCTCTCCGCCGCTGAGGCTCATGACCGGGAGGTACCGGATGTATACCAGGGTGTCTACCTATCAGAGGCGGGGCTCGTGCATGTCTCCGGTTCTCAACCGCGGACCCCACGGCGCTAGTCCTCCAGCTTGGGCGAGAGACGGGGTTGTGCGTGGGGCCCAGATTTATTTTTATTTTTATTTTTATTATTTTCCGGGCTGGTGGAGGGGCGTCTGTGTGTTTGTGAGTGTGAGTGTGTGTGTGTTTCTCGTTCTGTTCCCTTGTATGTGCTTTCTCGGCGGTGCTGGGTGTGCGTCTCCTTCTGTTCGCGTTCGATTACTCGACTTGGGAGTGGTGGTGGACTTCGTAGCTGCAGCGTTTCGGAATTTCGAGGGTACGTCTCACAACCCTGCCGGTGAAACTTTCTTTTAAGAAGGAATCGTTGGGGGAAAGATTTGCACGTGGTGTTTGTGCATGTGCATTTACTGAGGAAATTTGTGGCGACGGAGACTGGAGTCGAGGTGAAGGGCGGAATGTTTTCGAATGTTAGGGTGGGATTACTCTTCCGAGGAGTATTGAATCAATGCATTGTGTGTTGGTGTTTTGATTTGGGCGGTTCACTCGATTAGGGACGGCTGTTTTTATTTTTTTGTTTTTACTCCCTCCCTGCAGGGCTGCCTTGCGAAAACGGGCAGCTTGTCCGCTTCTTTCAATTTTGTTTTACTTTAATATTATTTTCATTTTTTTTTTTGAAGTAAATGTTTATTGTTAGGCTGTAGTATGAGCTTCTTTTGGTGCCAGCAGAGGGTAGAGTATCGCGATTTATGACAAATTTCTGCTTCCGGGGATTTCAATTTTATGTACTGGCTCGTTGCTGGTCGCTGAAACTTTTGGAGGGGATTTGACAACGTTGAGAATACAACTCTGACCTAATTTTTTCAATGTTAGCATTCAAGGTCAGCTCTTCTTGGTAGTCTGCATTCCGCCAAGTTATGTGTTAGAAATGACATGGAAGACACTTAAGTCTGGTCAAAGTTCAGAATAACCGTGAGAGAAAACTTTTTACATTAGCTAGTTTTGAGTACTGATACGAGACTTGCATCTCACTGTATACGGATACACTCGGACTTGCTCCTGTATTGACATTTCATGATTCCAGTATGAGCAGAGTCTCAAACAGTTAGGTTTAGTATCTGTGTTTCAAGTGCTGACATTTGCCCTATATTTAGAGTTGCGTTTTTACAGTGGCATGGATTTTACTCGAGAAAGGGGATGATGAGGATGAAATTGTGAAGGCGAGCATTGCATGAGCGACGATGAGGGCGCCTGGTGCTGACGGTCGCATTACCAGGAACAGGAACAGGAAGTGGCAGCTGTTATTGCTCCTACTGTTGGACGAGGAGGAGGAAAAGCAGCAGCAGTGGGAAGATCGGCAACAGACACTCGCATATCTACAATGGCAACACCAGCATGCTCGTCGTCGCACATGGTTGCAGAATTATTACTGTCAGTTGCAAGCTCTATATGCGGATCTCGATGTCCTTGAAAGTTGTCGGTTGCGTCGTGCTCACGTAGCAGCAGCTGCGTTGGGAGCTGCAGTATCAACGCAACAAAGCGTGCATCGTCGATTATGGGTGAAAAATAGGTCGCAAGCATGGTGGGCAAAGTGCAATCACCCAGGGTTTCCAGACGAGGAGTTCCATCGATCGTTTCGGATGTGTCGCGCTACGTTCAATCTCATCTGTGAACAGCTCGCAGGAGCGGTGGCGAAGGAGAACACTATGCTCAGGGCAGCCATACCTGTGGAGCAGAGAGTAGCAGTGTGCATCTGGCGGTTGGCCACAGGAGAACCCTTGCGACTTGTTTCAAAGCGCTTTGGACTTGGAATATCAACATGTCACAAGATGGTGTTAGAGGTCTGCGCAGCAATCAATGACGTGCTGCTTCCTAAGTATGTGCAATGGCCGTCAGCAGAGCGTCTGCAACATGTGACGCGGGAATTTGAGGCTATGTCTGGGATGCGGAATGTGGTTGGGGCCCTCTACACGACGCATATTCCTATTATAGCTCCCAAGATCAATGTGGCTGCTTATTTCAATAAGCGGCATACTGAGCACAATCAGAAAACGTCGTACTCCATCACTTTGCAAGGAATGGTGGATGCACGCGGTTCATTCACAGATGTGTGCATCGGGTGGCCAGGGTCCATGTCCGACGAACGTGTGTTTGAAAAATCGAATTTGTTTAGGCGTGGAATGAGTGAAGACCTGCGTGGAATGTGGGTACTTGGAGGGCCTGGGTATCCGTTGCTGGATTGGCTGTTGGTGCCGTATGTCCAACACAACTTAACTTGGGCGCAACATGCATTCAACGAAAAGGTAGTGGAGGTACTACAGATTGCCCGAAATGCTTTCAGCCGTCTGAAAGGACGTTGGAAGTTTTTGCAACGGAGAACCGAGGTGAAGTTGCAAGAGCTGCCTGCTGTCTTGGGTGCATGCTGTGTGCTGCACAATATCTGCGAGATGCACAACGAAATGTTTGACCCCGAGCTTCACTTCGAGGTTGTTGATGATGAGATGTTGCCGGAGAACATCAACTTTCCTATCACAGCCCTACAGGCTCGTGACTCGATTGCTCATAACCTGCTTCACAACGTTCATGCAGGTTCTTCCTTTTTGTGACTTGTATAGGAGCATTTTAAACGCCTGATACAGTGCCCGATTACGGATCATTAAATCATCTGTATTTTACTCTCAAGGCTTGTAATTGTGAGGATGATGGCACCATAAGTGCAATTTTATCTGCTGTGACGAGTTCTCGTTTCCTTCTGTTTTCTTACTGTTGTAAATTGCTCGCTTGCATTTGCAAATATTTGCGGCTTGTGATGTTTCGATGTGGCGATTGGTGAAGTATCGTCCTACAACGTCAGTAATTTCTTATGCGCGTATTTCGACTTCTTAATTCCCGAATACCCAGCCAGGTTTATGAATTGATGTCGAAGGTGCCGTCGAAGATGCCGTATAACACAGTTGCCGGATGGTTATCATGATTCCACACGAAGCTGCAGGTTCTCTGTTACGGTCGAAAGAGGGACAGACGTACATATCGGTTTGGTTCACCAAGAGAAATTAGCAGCAGCGAATTTGACTTTCGATACGCAGATCCGAATAGCAATCCGAAGACTTGTATTACTTGTTATTCTACTATGTTCTAATCTTGTCTTTACCAGGATATTCTTCCGCAATGACATCGCCTCAAAAAATTTGGTGCTACCTGAGCAAGTCCTTGAAGTTGCCATTCCACGGTGCAAGTTTGGTACCTGTTTATCTTGTACAGAGTTTATCTCAACGATTTGTTACGATACGTGTGGTTACACAGATCTGAATCAAATGATTGCAAAGAAGTTTGTTCTTCAAGAGTGCCAAGATTCTGGAGCGGAGAATTTTTGCCTGTGGATAATTCATTTCATCAGAGTAGGTTCAGTGATCTCCTTGTTACTGATCAATCAAGGGCTACCCACTTCTGGTTTTTGCTTGCAACTTTGATAAACGCTGTTAACGAGGGCCGTTGGGTTGGATCATAAGCAGTATAGTGACGTAGCAGATGGTGCAGACAGGAAAGTTGTATTCTCTTATGTTTTGTAAGCAGTGCATAGAATTGGTTGTGTGTGAGAATTTGCGACACTGCCATCGTCAAAAACTACATGGAATTGGCTTATTTCATGAAGAATGTGCACTCCAAAAGTTGGGTGCCAAGTTTTTGAGTCGTACACCACAAGGGATGTAATTTCATTCAGAGTGACTTGAATTTGAGATATATTAAGATTTCTTTTTCTTCATTTAGAGGATATTTTTAAAGTTTAAAAGACACACAAATTGAAGATGGGGAAAAGATAACAAGAAATCTCACACAATAACAACCACAAAATCACTTGGTCTTGTTGAATGTTTTAAAATAGCAACAAATACAAATTTATAAAAGAAAGCGAATTTCCTGGTTAATTTCTCACATTCTGAAAAATCTCCTCATTTCTTCATATAGCTCTTCCTTTCTGTAAAATATCCACATCTTGGATTCACAGCGTGGAACTATACAAAGGCTGAAGAAAGAAATTTTAACAAACCAACTAATTACTGTGTAATGTACGGGCTGATTGAATTGGTGATTGTTTGTAATTAAACATTATACTTCACTGTTACTATTTATTTCAATAACACTTTATTACAATGAATACATACCAAGGTTGATTATCATATGTCAACTAATAAAGGAAAACATGGTATTCATTGAAAAAAAGTAATTCATGTCAAAATTTAATACTTGTAGTCTTTAATAGAAGATTGATGAATGTCTGCAATAAGTTTTAATTTCTCTAAGAAGAGTATTTGTGTTACTTTTTTATATCTAATTCTAAAAACATATTTTAAATTTGGCATATATAATTCGGATAACTTAACAATTTTTAATATGATGGCACAAAGTTAAAAAGTTGTAAAATTTTTAGTAGTTTATTTAATTATTTTGTAAGGTAAATTCTTTTCATTGTTCTTTCTATATTAAATTTTCATTGAGAATAATTATAAACAAAAGTAAAGAACATGTGCGTAAATGAATCTCGCATTGGTACTCTTGTGTTGTATTATCTTCTCATGGCCTTCAATTGTCACGGTTACAACCACACCTCTCACTGCAGTGAGAACCTTATAAGTCTCAACGAATGAAGTCAAAAGTTTCACACCACCGCATAGTTGGATAATCGTACACCACATACCCCCAATTGATCCCCCAATTGGACGGGTATACACCCTGTTCATTCGGCATCAAAATTGGTTCAGATTCAGCTGGGTTGGGTGCCTGAAAGACTGACATGGGATGGCCCGACCGATGGGGTGGAGGAGGCTCCCAATTCTCAGTCTCCGATTCCTTGAAGCAAGTTTCACACATGTCAAACTCATTACACACGTTGCAATGCCAACCACGTTGACCTGTGATGAGCGTTTCGCATATATCACATCGTCGGAGGAAACGAGAATGCACCTGCACATTACATTCCATTCCAATTATTAAAAGCTCAAAGACTCACCGGGTGCAATAAATTCAAAGTTGAAACACAAGACCTGCATAGCAAGCTGCGGTGAATGGATAATCAGACCATGCCTAAGCACATTACTACAAACTAGTCCAGTTATTTTTGAGGAACTGAATAACCAAACAGACCATGCCCTCAGCATAATATTCTAAGCCTACCTTTCATATTAGTCTATTTTCTGGGGTACTTACTAAGTGCAAGCTCCTATCAAGGGCAAGAGGATGAAGGATGGCACAGCAACAATAACTCGAACCTTGAGACCACGTAGGTAGCAATTATGAACCATATCACTTACCCCATCATCCAAGGTAGTGTAAAGTCATTTCAGACTGGAAAACTATATTTTGATTACTTCATACATTTGACTCTGATATTAACTGCCTCTCATTCATTTAGGGGTCATATATATTGTATAAAACCAGCACTATAAACCAAGACAGTGAGTGATAACACGTCGAGCACACTTACCATTCGGAAGCGGATAGCTTTGGCATCACTTTTATCATGAGAAGGGCGGGCAACAACGCGTTTGATGTCCTGACCAATTCGAACACCGCTTTCATCAAAGATTGAGATTAGCATGGGTAAAATGGCAACCTGAAGGACAAGTGGAAACGGCTCAGCTCGAAACGTATGCCGAGTGTCACTCACACCATCTTTCAAAACTAAACCGTCGAGAACATCCGACCTCAATCCCTGGTCGGGCCGGTTATATGCAACGCAGATGCTCCCCTTCATGACTGTGATCCTCCATTCTTTGTACACAGATCTAGCAAACACACACACTTTGTCTCCACCTTTCAGACTTTTAACCAGCGGGTGAGGCCTTCTCAAGGTGCAAATGTATGCTTGGTCCCGATAGTTTGGTGAGGCTGGAAGCACATAAAGCAGAAAATTTGATAAGATTTGCTCCCAGCTCTCCGTCTTCGGTTGAGAATAGGGTCGCAATTTTACTGCAGCCGTCCAATGACAATGCCTTGAGGTTTGATAGCTTGACCATGCCCTCGGGCAGCCTTTCCAGATTCTCGCACTCATTCAAATTAAGTTCTTGAAGTCCTTGTAGGTCGCCCAGACAGCCTGGTAACAGTTTCAGTCTTTTGCACCCATGAACGTTCAGTATTCTAAGCATGGTCAGTAGTTTGATGGTCTCTGGTAGCTCTTCCAATGCTGTGCAGTTCTGAAGGAGTAACACTCTCAGTAAACTGGGCACGGCCTGATTGAGACAGTCACGACACATTCAAAAAACGCACGACAAGATCAAAAAACATATATATATATATATATATATACATATACATATCACTAGTAAATTATATTGAGAGCCGGCCCTAAGCTACATATATAATGATAATGATCAGGCAATAACATGCATTTTTAATCCAAAGGATTGAATTAAAACCAAATACAGCATACTTACTAATCCTCTGTTTAGATACCTGTGCATCATCGTCTGACCAAAGTCGAGCTAAGCTGTAACTATTTGAGAGATCCAGGATTACCAAAACCTGCATGTGCAATCTAGGAGGCAGCTCTCTGAGAAACGAGGATCTCCACTGCAGCCACCGTATCTTCTTGGATAGTAGGGAGAAATCCCCCTCAATTCGAGCTCCATCTAGTTGCATCAAGTGGATCTCAGACATCATTTTAAACTCCAATCCAGCAAAATCTGTTTGCTTCGCCCCAACCAGTGACAATCCTCTTACTTCCTTTGACCCCTACCATGACCAACATTAAGTATTAACGTTTGTCTTCTGTGAAACAATGTTTAAAGACATGCAGAGCTAAGAGAAAAAGCTAAACATACGTATATCATTTCAGTTGTGGTAGAAATCACATGTAGAGATTCAACTTCTATAAATTAAATCAATACTGAGCATTACAAACTCAACTCATAAATTTGATAAATTCTTTTGTTCATAATTTCAATAACAATATATACACACACACACACACACACACACATATATATATATATATATATATATATATATTTATCTGGTTCAAAATGCACAAACCTCGTCATCCGTGAGGTAATATTTAACGAGAAGAGGATCCCATAGGTGGCACCAATGTCCTTCTTTCTTCAAACTACCAATCTTGTCCACCTCGTCCATCTTTTTGCCCATCTCACGAAGGAGGTCATGCATGGTCATTCTTCTATCTTTGTCTACTTCCACAAGGGACTTGTCTTTCAGAATTTGCAAGGAATCATGGACCATTTTAGAAGTCATGCAGTAACGGGACTTGCAAGACCCACAAGATTTCCAGATGTCGATGGCATCCTCCTCCAGCAAACCAACCATTTGGCAAGAGACATCTAAGAACATCATCTTGTTTTGTTCCTTTAGACCCTTGTAACTGATGCTAAGGACATTTATGATATCAGGTCTATCCTTTAGAGACATGGTTGCTTCTCTCCACACTTCCTGCGGCTTTCCATACAAATGTTGTCCGATAACCTTCAATGCCAAGGGAAGACCTCCACACAAATTATTAACCACCATTAGTGCGAGAGGGCGAAACATTTCGTCCTCGGCCTTTGAAAGTTCTCTGTCATGGAAAGCGTGGAACCAAAAAAGATTAAACGAATCAGTAGCTTCCAACGGCTTCATTTCATGCAAGTAGGAACCAAATCGAGACGGTGCTTCGCTCATGATGGCTCTCATCGTATCCCTCTCACGTGAAGTTAGTATTATTCGGCTTCCCACGCCCAGCTTCTTCATGTTGGGAACAAGTTCCTTGAAGTGTTCGACGTTGGATATGTCGTCTAAGACAACCAACACTTTCACTCCAGCGAGGCCCTCGAAGTGGTTCACGTATCTTTCATCTAAGTTCTTCTCTTTTTTGTTGAGGAGGTCGCGGAGTGCCTGTTTTCGTAAGTGGCTCGTGTCCTTGATGTCTCCAATCTTCAGAAAGGTTTGGTACAGGAATTTTCCACCTGTGGAGTAGTGGTTGTAGACTTCCTGGGCCAATGTTGTTTTGCCAATGCCTCCCATGCCACATATGCCTAGTATTCCCACGTTGTCCCCCATTTCTTCCAACCGTCTGAGTGTTTCTTTCAGTAGCACCTCGCCTCCAACATTTGGGCTCGGGACCGACTGTTTCCTGCTTTGTCCGCTTCGTGGTGCAATTAGTTCCTGCACCCGGTTGATGATTTTCTTTTTGAGCTCATTCGTATCTCTGCCCACATACACACGCGGTACACATCAATCGGTTTCCAATAATAACCCTGTTCAATCTTTTTCTGGAATCGATAAACTGATCAGAGTCCAATCTCCCAAACAAAAACCACTAGTGACCCTTTCAAAAGCACTCTTACTGCCTGCATTAGAAGCGAAGCTGGACTCAACTTGCCACATACATTGTGAGGCCTGCCAGCTTAGAAGTTGATAGAAGCTTGTACAAGGACAAGAATTAGCATCACCTATTAAGCACTTGAAGCACTATAAACTAGTGATGACAACGGATTTGTACTGTTTCATGCTTCAATTCAATGTGAAAATCCCAGACTTCAAGGTGTATGGTGTTATGAAGCTTTAGGAAAAAACATGTAAGGTGGATATATCAGACATCATTCACTATACTGCACTATTGTAAACCTCACCCTATAAAATATGGGGTAGAAGAGGGAGAAGGGAACCAAACAGCCCCCTATTTTTGCATATGTGAATGTTCTCTGCGACCTCCATTGGTCTAGCAGGAGCTAAAATTAAAGAGCAGCCTGGTAAACCTCGCAACTACACACTGGGAGACGGAGGTGGACAACAGTACAGCATGTGTACCGACAATGTTAACTTAGGAGGCAAAATGCCCATTCAAACCACTGGCGACTCTGCTAGCGGTTTGTGAAGTTTTGATACCTTCAACAAGTATGTAGAGCTCAGTCGAATTTGTCAAAAGCAGAGTGTTACAAAACAAACTCAATTACAAACAACTCAGAGTTTTGTATGTGCGTTTCGGGGACATACTCGCCGATTTTGAACTCAAATCCTTTGATATCCGCTGCATCATGTAGAGCTTTCTTCCACGCTGAGATTCGCTGATCAGAATATCTGAGTTTTTTCTGCTGGAACGCGTGCCAGAAAGGACTTCCAGGTAAATCGGGCCTGCGAAGTGCTTGAGGCTTCACGTCGTAAAAGACAGGCACCAAGGTGACAGCGCCATTGGGACTCTTTCGTCTACATTCTAGCATAGAAACCAGTTCATCGAGGCAGTATTTAGACTCAGCGTACCCAGGAGAGAATATGGCCAAGTGAACCCGTGTGTCTCGAATGGCTGCTTCGATCTCCTCGAAGACTTGTTTTCCCTCTCCCAGTGACTTATCCACAAACGGAGTGTACTGCTTCTCCTTTAGCCCCTCTTGGAGGTGGGTGACAAACGTCAGCTTTGTGTCAGGACCCCGGTGGTTTATGAAAATGTCATACTTGGTCTGTTGTAGGACGCGATGAAGGTGAACAGCAGGGCTACCGAGATTGTGGACGTCATCACTCTCCGCATCTTCAGGTGTGCGGGGGCAGTCGCCATGGTCGGTGTAGAGACTGCTATGAGCTTGATTGGGATGTTGTTCTCCATCACCTCGGAATCCACCACACACCCACGCTATCCATTTACAAATGAATCCTAAGAAGAGATACATGCCGATATATAAGGCTGAACAAAATATACGAGCAGCTCTGTAACTTAACCTCCTGAAGTGCCCAGACCACTACATAGTTAGCGGTTTAAGCCTACTAGAGTTGTATAACTTGAGCCTATTCCCCATAATTGATCGCACAGCATATGACCTCTTTTTAAGGTGTGATGTGAAGCTGTGCAAGTGAAGTAATTCAAGTAAGAGGTTTACATGTGCAACTTTAATTAACAAATTCATGTGCCAAGGCTCCAGTTCTCCCTCTTAATTCGTTCTGCAGGAAGTTGGATGCGAATACCGCTGCAGAGAGCGTGAACAACTAAAGTCAGCCTTGGAAAGATTCTAGAACGTACAAGGCTGGTTGCACGGCACATTGAAAACCCTGGTCCCGAAACCCGTCAGAGTTCTGAGTTTGGGGACTCCGCTGGGAAACTCCATAGTGAGGGTGGGTCCAGCCTGCAGGCTCTCTGGCGTCCACGGGGGAGTGTTGACGTGTGAGCGGTGACAGATGAGCAATGTGCGGTGAATAATGAACAATGGTTATAGGATCCACAATTTAGGGTTTCGTGTTCATACTGGCTTCAAGATATTAAGGTTCGAGTGCGTTTGCGCGGGAAGAAGAGCGCCCTGAATTTCGTTAGCTCGCGCTGAATTCCGTCCCTCGCAAAAAAGGACTCGGATTTGGCGGCTATGACCACGTCCCTTGCGATGCCCACTGTCCGTACCTGCGCTTTCTTCCTCCTCTAATTCCGCCCGGATTTCACCCCGATCTGCGTCCTTTCCTAAATGTTGAGTTTCTTGTGGAGGGAGATCGGTATTGACAGGGTTTGCGTCGAGACACAATCGTGCTGTTGCTTCTTTTTTCTTCGTTTAGGTCACGGACGAAGGCTTGGAGCATACAGAGTAGTAGTTTGTATCTGCGGAGGATTGTAGAGTAGTCAGTTTCTTTTTATTTATGTTATGGTTTTTTAGCTGGCAATAACGGGGAGTAGGAGATTTGAGATTTTTTCTTTTATCCATGGAGGATCAGATACGGACTGAATTTTTGAATAATAACTTTACGCTGGAGGACGATGAAACAGCTGAGAAATGTACGTGCCCCTTCACATTGTGCCACGTTCTTGTTTTGTTGTGTTTTATGGACCTGTGTTGCCCTTAGTTCGTATTCAGAAGTTTGAGTTTGAGAAGTTCGGCGTGCGTTAATATTAGTTGAATTGTTAATGGAAGTTTTTTAATTGTTGAAATTTTGTGGAGGACATGGATGTGATTTTAGCTTGTGAATGCTTGAGCATTAAGGAAGTTTGTGTTTCTCAGGTGCATCGCTGTGCATGAGTTTTGGGATGGAGCCGGAAATGTTCGTCTCCAAATGGGAACTTTTCTACCTGAATCAGTGAGTTTTCTGTTTAGTCATAATGTCAATGCAGCTGACTGTAGTGCATGAGATGTTCTACAAATACGGAATTCGTTGTCGCATGTGAGACTTGCTTCCACTTGTCATTATCTTCGTCCTGCAGGTTGCGCACTTCGTGACCTAGGTCATGTGAAAGTTACACTGAATCATCTCTCTAAACTGCCTGGAAACAATTTCCCAGTCATATTTTCATGGAGAATTTGGAGAAATAGTGCTTCTAGTGTTCCCCAGAATGTTTGCCACACTGTGTAACATGGCACACTAGAGTGTTATTAATTCTGGCATTGTTTCAGGTGCTTATTATCTACTTAGGAATCAGCGTCAAATGTCTTCTGAGTCATGACTGGACATCTTTGCTGCTTTAAGCTTGATACCTAATGATGAGAATGTAACGGGCTATTCTGATGGAACTTTGCTACGTTTTTTAGGCAGCTGGATGGAGTTCAAGTTTTGAAGGCAAACTTGGATAGTTTCAAACAGTTTCTGGAGAGGGACAAAATAGAATCGTTTCGCAAAAGGCAAACTGGACTGCACTACTACACCAGAGATGACGTCGACATGTATGTCCTTAGAATTCCATCTTGCAATGTCCACGCCACGGGCATCAGAAGATTGTCCACGACCATTAATTATTTCATTTCCAATTTCATTGTCAACTTCATTTGAGTATTTTCTCTGTTCAGATTGTAAATATATCTTTTCTTTGTCAAATTAGGTTGCTTGATGACAAGCAGGAAACCGAATGGCAGGAAAAACACCTGCCAGCTACTCCCTCTAAGGAGAGGCCAACATCAGGATCTTATGTCGACCCGATGGAGCTAACACCCCCTCCGTTTGCTTCAAAAAATCGTGGATTCTCATTACATACTCCAGCAGATGTATCTCTTAAACCTTCAGACACTCCCTTTCAGCGTCGCGTGAAAAAGTTCAACGTGCAATCTACCTTCAACGATCATCTTTCTTTTGAGGCAAGCGAGGAGGCTGTCTCCAATTCTGGCGACGATGATATTTTGAAGCGCTTGAAGCCGGTGCGACGTTGTGAGGTTGACGTTGTGAGGACTGGTCCTGAGCCCGGAATTCGATACATGTTTGACCAGACCGAGAACAGGGTGAGTTTCTGCAAAGTTCTCAGTGGTTTATTTTGATTTTGGATGGCAAAAAATTCCTCGTCTTTCCTTTGCCGTCATTCTTAATCTTTTGCTTGAGTGAATATTGTCGAGTGATGACAAGGACCTTGATGTGGCGCTTAGTAGCAATTTTTACATCGTCAGAATCTGATCGTTTTGTGGTTCCAGCAGTTCTTTTAGTCGGTATCTAGTTTGTATCGTAGAGGGACTATTGAAGATAACAATGGCCAATCCTGTCTTGCACGCATTATGTTTTAGAAAACCTGAGGCATCTCGTGAGGGTTGTACAATCAGTTTGGCGCAGTGGACAGACGGATACAAAATTTTGCCAAGGTGTTGGAGGAGCGTTTGCAACGGAAGATGAACGATCATGTTGCTGTTTCCTCTCAGGTGAACTTTTGCGACTACTATGCCCTTCTGTTCTATTGCAAGTTTACCCACTAAGTGTGAAAGAATAGTCTCCTTACTGGAATCTCGTACACGCAAAGTTCTCAACAAATGGGCTCTAGCCTCTCAATTTGAATATGGTTGTGCAGGAAAAGGTAATGGTGGTAGGTAGGATTTGTTGTGATGCAGAGGGCCATCTCAATGACAATTCTATTCTTTTAGAAGGGAGGTGAGTATGCGACACTCAATTTTTGAAGTATGTGGTGGTTTATGGATAGCGGAAACATTTTCTCCTCTATTTTACTGTGTGCTACAGCTTAAATTACACTATTGCTTGTAAAAGCCTTCTGATTCACTGGAAAGGTTTTCGTTTGCAGGGTGTTGCTTTTTTCTCTAAGCTGATTGTTACACAATATGCTGGTCTGTGGTATGCAGTGTGGAGCACTCAAATGGGCAACGTGTTCGCCTTGATCTTCGTAATATACCTAGATTTTCCTTCTTTCCTGGTCAGGTAGTCGCCCTTTTCTTTCACGTTTACCTCTGGTATTTCTAACCCTAGTGTATATATCGAACTTTTCCTCCCTGTTCAGCTGAACTTCATTTAAATATGAAAGTGAAATCTCTGCATTTGGCCTGAATCTTCTACCTTACGAAGGAAACTTTGGCAAATTCCTAATCTTTTTCTCTGCAATTAATCAGGTACTAGGCGTTGAAGGTCAAAATCCAAGTGGGTTTTGTCTTATGGCTACACGCATTTTTGATTCTATTCCTGTATCTTCGTCCTCACTGAAGTCTGATGAACCCCCAACCAAACGCCGAACTTCTAGTCGAGATCCGAGTGACTCTGAACCTCGACAATACACACGCATTGTACGTTTGCTTAGTTGCTGTAACTATTTATTATGTTTGTCGGTGACAGTAGAGGACACGTTTCATGATTATCGGATAATGTTATGCTTTGCTTTGACTTTAGAAGATCTGTTCTTATACTACTTGAATCCGTCATCCAGGTGGCTGCAGCGGGTCCATTCACAACCAATGACAACCTTGCGTATGAGCCACTTGTGGAACTTTTCGCTTATGCAAAGAAAGTTCGGCCGAACCTATTGATATTGGTAGTCTTTTGACACTTTTTTTACTTCCCTCATTTGTCGAATTCAGATTCGCAGGTTCTAATCCTTCAACTACTATTTGTCAGAGGTAAACTCATTTTTCTTGTGGTTGTTTTCAATGTAGATGGGTCCGTTTGTAGATTCTGAGCATCCACAGATCAAGCAGGGGACTGTCGGCAAGTTATTCTCCCATATCTTTCAGGAAGAGATCAGGATGCGGGTAAGCTAATTAAACGCTGTGTTAAATGGTCAACGAACCTTGACCGAAGTCATTCAGTTTTGGTTTCGCCAAAACTGCAATTCTTTGTTCTAGCAAAATCACGTACGAGTACTTCTACATCTTATATTAAAGACGTACCGTTTGTGGTGTAGGTGGAGGATTATTGTGAAGAAATGGGTGATGGTTGTCGGATTGTTTTGGTTCCTTCTCATCGTGATGCCCACCACGATCTTATTTTTCCTCAAGTAAGTTACCAACTGTTTTCCGATCACATGTCTAAATATCTCTACATGGTAACCTAATTCTACGTTTTTTTCAGGAAAGACAGTCGACAATATCCCTGTACAATGGTCTGACCTCATAACAGAATGCAGCCTCTTCGATCTTGGATCAGAAAAATATTCTGTAATATTTGTTTCGTCAATTCATAGCTTAATTGTACAGATTTCCTTATCTACTCTAGTGTGCAGCCTCCATTTGATGCTGATGAATTCGAGGACCCAAATCACCAGGTATGAGTTGAGACCAGTTTCGGATCAATTACTGAATTTATTGATAATTCCAGTATTATTCATGTATTTTGTAAAGTGCAGTGTGTTCTTAAGCTCAGCACAAGTTAGCCAGTTACCTTTTATTCATCTTATTGGCTGACCCATTTCTTATTGAACGCAGATAACGTTACTTTCAAATCCAGGCGTCTTGAAAGTTGATGAGGTACGTTCAATAAGTTCGCGTATCGTATGTAAATCGTGAAGGATGGACAATGAGTTCTCTTGGATTATATAAATTGCAAAGTTATCTTCATTGAACTAATGTTAGCATTTCCCTTCAATAATCACATCTTCTAAGTCAATTATTGCATGGTTTACGGTAGTAGAGCAGTTGTTGACGGATTTCTGACATGAATGCTCCCGGGACTGCACAATTCTGCTCATGCTAGTTTTTAGATAAGCCAGAAACCCGGTTTAGAATGTAGAATGTCACAATCAAAATGATCGCTGGATTGTTTGTGGTGTTTAGTAACCGTTCACGAATTTATGTCTGTTTGGTTTCAGGTAACTGTGGGATTTTGTACAACCGACATCCTGAGACACTTGAGTAGCGAAGAGGTGTCCCGAGTACCTCAAGGAGCATCCAGTGATCGAATGACTAGACTTGCTTCACATCTCCTTTCACAACGCAGGTATTTGTTTTGAACATTTTCAGTAGGCTGTGAACAGCTAAAATTTATGCAACATTGAAACTTGTGCAACTATTAGAAAATTACCTTCGATTGTCAGAGCAATTTGATCATTGTTCTTGATTAGATTCTGCGACACGGTGTCGAGCATTAACAAGCGTGGTACGGATGCAGTTTTTATCCCCTGTTTCCGCCTCCACAAAGTGTCCCACTGGACTTATCAGTTGCTCCTGAGTCGCTGGATCTATCGTCTTCGCCAGATATCTTGTTGCTGTCCTCTAATCTTGCTCCATTTGTGAAGGTTCTTTGAACTCTTCTTCAAGACTTTAGTCATTGATTTTATGCTTCGATTTCCATGCTCAGTACAGTTGTTTTTCTGATAAAGTAACACTGAACCCCCTCATTTGAATTACTAGTTTCGTTTTGTATTATCGAGGTACTTTGAAGTTGTAACTGAATGAAATCTATCAATTCACAGGTTTTGTCTTTACCAGCGGATATACAACGGCAGGAGAATAGAGAGAAGGTGGAAAAGGTTAAATGTATTTGTATCAACCCAGGATATGCTGCAAGAGGGATGTCTGGAGGCACTTTCACTGAGATTCATCTTTCAAGTGGAGATTCAAACACTGAATTAGAACCTCTTCACAAAAGGGCGCAGGTCAAAATCGTACGTGTTTGAAAACATCTGTACATTGAATACAAGTTCGAACTTACAATAGTCACGTGTTCACCTTGACAGTCGACGGAATTTTTAAGGGTCAATTTTTGTGTTGCCAGATCGCCGCTAGTACCTTTCACAGTTATTGACGACTGGTAGCGAGGTATTTTGCTGTAAGATGCAAACTCATGTTGCAATGTACTCATGTTGAAATTGCATCTCACTTATCAAACTTTGTGAAAGATTGAATACTTCAAAAATATATATTTTTTAACTAACCCGTTAAATAACACATTCTTCTTAAATTGTGTTTTAAATGATTTAATTCAATGCGTATCTTAATTTCACTTTGAGAGCTTTGTACAGTAAATTTGTATTTATCGCACAGCTCTTTGATATTCACATATTAGTCAATTTTAATCTCATCTTCAAGATTTGTACATTGAAGTGTCGGAAAACTACTCAATGCAAACTGTGAAGTACACATTTATAAATTATATGTTAGTTGATTTACATACGAACATATTAACACAGAAATATTTGTGTGCAATCTTCTGTGTTGCAGTAAATGAATCTGTTCTCAAATGTGAAATTACCTTGAAATGTTTAAATGTTAAACGAGTTTGACAACTGTGTATTCATTGCTAATTACTTGGCACTTTTGTGATTTTCCAAATTTTTACTATTTTAACTTTTCACCCTCAAAAAGAACACCAATGAAGAAACAAAATACCCCAATATCTATTCTTTGTTAAATGCTGCGAAGGTTTAGTCTAATTTTACTCTTCCGGTAAGAGGCTCATGCACGATACAACAGATGTATATTGGAACGGGAACCCAAGAGCCAACATATTCTCCATGATGTAATTGTCTGCATGATGGTCAATTGAAATGCATTTTTTAAAAATGTATTCTAATCTGGCTTTAAGTTCATGCTTCTGTACTATGCGTGGCCTCTGTATGCAGTCATACAGGGGTACTCACTCTTAGATTTACCTGGTCCATGAGCTAGAACAGATCCAAAACAGGAATCTCTGATGTCCAGACCCAGTAATCAAACAAATTGGGTTGATTGCAAGTGCTCCTTGCAAGTGGTCATCGACGAGTTGATGGCAACTTCCTCACATCGACACATTGCCTGAGCTCACCATCTAGAGAGGAATCTAACTGCTCTTGCAATAACTCAACTTGTGCACATCTAGCTGACAGCTGAAGTTGCAGCTCTGCCACCTGTTTACGCATCGAGGACAACTGATCTTTCCCATCTGATGTGGTAGGCCTAGAACTGAACCTTGAGCTCGCAGCGCTTGTCATCGGTGTTCTTTCCCTGCTTCGTACTTCCTCACGCAACTCTTCTGTATACTCTACCAGGTACTGGTTGTCCTTTACCAAACGCAAGCGAAGTCTGTTGTTGTTCTTTCTCTCCTTTTCTATGTCGTGCTCCAGTGATTTCACCTGCTCACCCACAAGTAATGGAATTTGTAGTTGGGATGCACGAACTCAAGGAGAGTGCCCATGAGGAAAGATTCATGATTTGTAAAACTGCAAATGAGAGAGTATAAGTCTGCCCATCCTCATGGCTATAAAGTATACCTTCCTTTCCAACAGCTCTCGTTGAAAGAATGCTCCATCCTCCGGAGATCTCTCGAAATTTCTCACTCCGAGCTTGCCTTTGACGTGCTTCCGAAACACCTTCAAAAGTTCCTTCTTCAGAACTCGAACACTCTGCACAATGAAAGTGAGGAAATGGTAATGAGGTCTTGTGAACCTATCATACATATTTTGTGGTAGAAAACGGTTTTTTTCAGAAGTATACTTTATGCATACAAGGAAACATGGCCAATGCCTCACATGAGCTCCATGAGTAAAAGTTCAATTGACACCCAAAAATATTTTTACGCTACATACCAACATCTAATGACACGTTTTTGCTCATTTAGACAGAATAATAATGCTACGGGGGGAAAGTAGGACCTCGTTCTTCTGTGACAATTCGTGAAAGTCGATTTGAAAATTCCTAAAGTCTTGGGTTGTTTTTGAGATGGATAAAAGCATCCTCTGTTTTTCTACACCAGCAGCGTGCAGCTTGGCCTTCAGGCTTCTCAGCATAAGCTCCTTGTCTTTCGAGATATGGCGTGCTCTGTCCAAGTGCGACAAATATTTATAATCATTTCAATCTAAATGAGCACAGAAGAAAGCAACTACAAAATTCGGATAAGCAACAAACAAAAAATTGATGCTACAGGCCAGGGGCCAATGCGGATGTCTTATCTCAACGAAACGGAATTAATGAGCTAGGGCACATCCATGCAAACCGACTTTAAAGTTGAAATTTGACCTTGTAAGGTTTCAAAAATGGCTCCACTTAACGATAGTGCATCTCTTAGTCCGTCCCTAATACGTTGGAAAAGTACCTAATTAACTCGTTCTCCATTTTTCCTATTCTTTCTGTAAGTTCTGCGGCTTGAATTCGAGAAGGTTTGATACTCTCCTTAAGGTCCTTCAGTTTGTAGTCCAGAATCCATTTGAACTTCTCTAGTTCCTGCCAGTACATTTCTACAAGCATTAAGAATATGAACCTTCAGGACTACGTGAGATTTTCTCCAGCATGTCATAAAATTTTATGGGGGAATTTGCAGTAGATCAGGTGGAAGTTTAATATGATTCTCACGAGCATGTCATGAGGTGGCAAAGTGCGCGATAGAAGATAAAAAAAAAAGTAATAATAATAAAAATTAAAAAAAGCTTTCACCTGATCCTCTATCTAATTAAAACATTTTAATAAAATAGGTTGCAATTTAGAATCAATCTACGTAATTTCAGGACTAATGGGTACAATTAACGTGAGATCATTCACTATAATGGGCTGGAATTAATCCAAAGAAGATTACACGGGGATTTCGAGACACAATCTTAGAAACTCGATCAGTCACGGCTGTGGTGAACTCAAGTACCGACGTTACCTGATTAGCTCGTTTGAGGCCATTGATGCGCTTGTTTTTCTCCTGTAGTAGTTCTTCACTTTCTTCTAAATTTTTTTCAAGCATCCTGTTGTGAAGTATACTCTTAGGTACCCAAAAGAGAATTCCTTCTGATTTGCACCTCAGTTAATATTGCTCTTATAAATTGCAATTGAAATAATTGGGAACGCACAGTAGGCGGTAATTTGAGGAACTATAATAAGACGTGCACTTGACTAAGGCTTTGAAGAAGAACAAAAGATAACATGAATTTTAAAAATAAAAACATACATTTTTAATTTAAAAGAAATGAGTAGAATAGCTTGAGTCTACAACAGAAGTTGATGTAAGCTCGTAGCAATAAATAGTTTATTTACAAATAGGACATTTACGATGCAGATTATCATATACGTTTCTGTGCAAATACAACGTGTCGTTGATTTTGAATATGGGGCGGCATTTCAATTGATCTGAGTCGATTCTAGTCCGAAGTCAAACATGTTTTACCTGCCAACGACCAAAAGATTTCGCGAATATATGTAGATTGAAGATGGCTAGTTTTTTCAGCTCGTGTACCTGGCGTAGATTGACATACTAGACCAGGCATTGATTCACGTACTGAATGTTGTGTTGGCAATGACGAATGATTTCAAAAAGCTCCTTCTTCTGATTCACCAACTCGCTCAACTCTGCAAATGACATGTCTACATCCTTTTGGAAGAGACCAAATTTGTATTTCAGGATACCATTTTCACCCAGGACTTTTTGTATCTCTTCCTCTGCTATCATCAACTTCAGTTCATACCTGCATGCAATGATTTTATCCTTGTAGCAATCACGAGAAAGGCAACTGGTCAAGCAATATTTGCAAAATAAATGATTCTGAGTATGTTTTATCTACTACATGTCTTTATACTTAGCAACCAAAGAATAAAGCATCCAAGTGCTGTGTGGGGATGAGGCATACTGTTCTCTCTTTTCATCAATCTCAAGATTGATATCTTCCTCCAATACTTTTCGGATCTCTTCCAAGTTAAAGGTGGTTTCCTCCTTGGTCTCTTTCGATTTCTTGAGCACTTCTCGACTATCCTCGAGTTTTGCCTCGCATGCTTCCATAAGCTCCTGGCAGAGTGATAATCTTATCAGCTAATCGTAATAGAGCACCATCAGATTTGGAACGTTGGTCAGAAACGAAGGATATGTGAAATATCTTGGGAATCTGCTGAGTACAAGCAAATATCTTGCCTGAAGTGCAACCTCATGTTCTTTACTTAGAGATTTCATTTGCTGGGTCCAGCGAATAATTGCTGCATCCTTGCTCCGCACAAATTCATCGTACCTGCGCATGTTCTAACATAATATGAAAAAAGCAATTCGTGAAAACAGGCAAAACTTCGTGAGAGTACTTAAAAATCATATTAGATTGGCAATTTGTTCCAATCATTTATCTCAGATTTACTGCGAAAAACTCGAACATGTGCGCACGGACTAAAGTGACGATGAATGAGAACCTTGAGATCTCTACCACAGTCATTCTATTGTAAACATCCTCCATGTCCTTCAGATGCTGGGCATGAATAGCCTGAACATCCTTCTGTTTTCTTTCCGCATTCAGCTCCTGCATCCTCCAACACTAAATTTAGGATGATAATGAACTGAGGATTTCTCTGATACATTGCTTTCTAAACATGTACTTAGTGCAATTCGACCACGAAACGTCAACTCCCACAAAGAATACAATGGGAGTCTAAATAAACCAATTCGAGTATTCGGCAACCACATCATCTCGAGGTACTCTGAACTAATTCTTAAATTTCATAAAATTTTCCTGCATTCATTTCGTAAGTTAATTGAGAATAAATTGTGAATAATAAATTGTATTAGAATTTCCTGAGTTTATCAATTATGTACCATTGCAGATTTCTCCATTGAAAGTGCCAGGAGCTCATCCCGAGCTACGTCCACTGTATGTTCGTACTGCTTTTTTATGTCCTCGATCTCCTCATCCAGTCGATCGCAATTAGACTTCACTCTTTGTTCACAAAGCTTCTCTGTGTGCACAGCCTGTTGTCACGTGTTGGAACAATCCAACGGTTCAAAGATGGAAGTTCAGGTTGAGAAACAATACTGCCCAGTTAAAGAGTTTACAACGTACGTATTTTTAACGTCTGCTGTAACCACCGTTCACTATTTTCACGATTATTTTCATGATCTAACCTGGTTCATGGACCAGGACTCAATTGGTAAGGATTCAAAATGCCTCCAGGCATCTACTGCATAGTTTGATGATTTCTATACCCACACCCACAGCTTTCATGTATATTTTTATTTGAAACATTCTCAAGCTGTCTAAATATCATCTAATTGTTGAAGGTACCTGGATTTCTAACCCTTGAACCCTCCTCATGTAATCTTCGAGGCTAGCCTTTGGGATCAAAACATCATCGCTCCACCTATGATGCTGAGGACCAGGAATTCGCACATCAAACATCATAATCAATCCATCCTCAGAAGCGCAGAATAGGAAATTGTCACTGCTCAGGCATACTTTAACCACCGAAGCCGCAAACAACTTTACTTCATGAAACAATCCTGTGGCCTGACATCCAAAGCTCGATATCATCACGATGGGCAATATCAAGCGGCCATTTACAATACTAGCATTGTAATTGTTATATTGCTTGGAACTCATCAGAGAAATAATCTGCAATCATAAAAGTAAACCTCAATCCTGTTTAGTATAATTGAAGACCAGGTAATTATCAGATTCCAGATTTACGTATGTAGTTGCCAAATCAATGTCACGCAACAGTACTATGAGGACTAGAAGAAGCATGCCTGTGAGAGGATAATCATAAGCTCGAATGGCTCCATGTTCCGTGCCCACGAACAACACGGAACCTTCTACGAATTGAACAATCTGGGTGAGGTTTACATTGCTTTCAATAGTCTGCACCCCAAACAAATACTTCAACTCTAACAATGAGGAGCTCCTGCCACAGATGACAAGAACCAGGACAAGTAATACTCATATTGTGATGGTGATACAAATAAAAACAAGACGACCAACCACGAGACTGTGCTTATAATCGTTTGATCATTGAGGTCATTTATTATAGTTTGTGTACAAGTGATCTCCACAATTCACAAGTCACTCTTGATGAAACCAGCGAAGATTTGTCTACGCATGATTCACTACAAAGTCTGTACATGTGATTGAAGAGTGGTCCAAGCCAGTAGGACATAACCAAGAATGTAGTTAAGGTTAAAGGACTCAACATGGAAAACTTCCACACTATCCAGCTCCCGAAGTTTACAATTTGAAGTGGTGCTGAAAAAGCGATTCGAGCTTTTGGTCCCAATCGCACACGTTTGTGGGCAACCTTCAGTGACATACTCACGGCTTCGCTCCCATGTCTTTAGCGACCATTCATAGATGGCCCCATCCATTCCCGAAGTCACTATGCTGAAGTCATCATATGCCCACCAAATGCTTCGCACCTGGTCAGAACAACGAAAACCTTTCACTTCACAAAGTATATTGTTCACCACACTGGCCAAACCAGGTTGCTCAGTGTACGAGAGTGCACAGATCAAATGGGTTTCCATACAAAAATCAAGCACAGATCCAGATGACCAAAAAGGCTAGTGGATAAATTCACCTTGTTTGTGTGACCCCGCAAATGACCAATGATTTGACCGGTATAAGTCGAGATTACATGAATGACGTTGCCAGTAGCAGCTGCGAAACATTGTCCACCGCGGCTGAAGGCGCAGTCCGTGCACCCTTTCACAGATGGGAATTCTTTCCATAAACTCAAATCATCAATGACCATGTTCAACAGATGCAAACAGTCCATACATCCAACCAACAGATACAAACCTGCCATCCGCATTCGAAGTTATTAAATCCTTGATAGGAACACAATACATAACCACACACGACAACACTAGTAACGTGTCATAATAAATCACAAACATTTACCAATCGCATAATAATCACTGTTGGTCGAATCAAGGTTGAATACAAGGGAATAAAACAGGGTACCATTTGGATGTATGGAAACAGATAACGCTTCTGATGGGAAAAACTTCAAAATCTCGCAAGAGCGATCTTCAAAGTTCCACACACGCACACTGTTGTCCTTGCTGCATGTAACCACAAATGGTTTGAGCAGACATGTGTCCATGCCTGTTATGAACGCTTGATGATACGACTGCTTTCATTCCACATGAAGATCAGTATAAAAATTACAAGTTCACGACATGATCGATCCACAAACTTGCCAAACAATTATGATCATCTTGTCACTGGGCTCGGAATTTTCTTCTCTTGAAATTACATGAATAAATGAAAGTGATGCTATTAACAACTAGCAGATTCCTGAAACAGAATTGTGCCTACTGCACTATGTGATGAGGCTCATATCCAGGTTTATACACGGAAAAGTGCAGGTCCAGTAAGCATGGCCCTCTTAACTGAAGTTGAGTGAAAAAAGTTCAAAGAAATTAGTATGCTCGAATCATCTCATTGTCTGACTCGAATATTTGAGTATGTAAAGATTCAGGAAAAACCTGTGCTTGGACTTTCTTCGAGACCGTATCAGCTGACATCGTATCAATCTCGTCAAAACAAAGGTGGATGAGACGGTTGGTGGATAGCAAACATATCAACACATCCTCCTCAGACGACAAGGCTAATCCATGAACGCGAGCGTTGGTCTCCTCCACTTTAATAGACCGAACTTTCTTGTAGGTTTTATGATCCTTATCGTAGTCATAAACTGAAACTTTTCCATTTTCGCCACATATAAAACCTTTCGAATATGGTAAAATAGTCTGGACAATGCATACTTCATCTCCCGACTCTTGCATAGGTATTTTTGCGATCACCTGCGAAGCAAACACCTCCACCCTTTTGGAAAGATGAAAATAGTCGAAATTGCAGTCAACAGACTGCAGTAGCTCTCTAAACAGTACCAGCAATATTATAGTAAAAGAGCCTCATAATAAAATTTTCGGCAAAGATCTCTTCCACGATGTTCATTTAATTCGTAATGTGCTTCACATATTCTAATGCGGAACCAAGAGATAACTATAAAGTGAACCTATCGTGCAATATCTCAAAAATCAACACCAAGATGGTTTGTCTCTTATATTTGCCTCAGTAAGTTGTTACTGATGCTTCCACTAACAAACCTAAAACATTTTTATATAGAACAACTAGAAAACTGAACAATCGGAGAGAAGCCCACCTCCCCATGGTTTACATACAAAAGCTCCCCGGAATCAAGAGCGTACACGCAACCACATTTCACCACCTCATTGCCTTTTAGCTTCATCTCTTTATTTGCTTTCTTAACGACCGTGATCTTGCCGTTTAATCCTTTCCCACCCTTGGCTTTGGTTTCCTCATCCTCAGCTGATTTTACGGCAGATCGTGGAATCCAAGAATGACAGAATACTTTCCGTCCCTCCTGGTTCGTATAATCTGTGGACACCTGCCGCAAGTCGGTGTCCACCATCTTGTACGTCTTCGCAAAGCCATCTCCACACACTGTAAACCAATTCTTGTCCACTGGACAGCATCGTACCTATAAGAGTATAATCCCCTGTTGTAGGTTCCAGTGATAAATATGCAGTCCTCCGTCACGATTATCATCTCAGAAATATCCTTAATCCCACAACGCCCTCTCTCTTAAAATGAAAGAAAAAATCAACACCCGATGGATTTCAGCCATCAGCAATGACAAGTGGTCATTGTCAAATCCTCAAAACCTGGGTTGGAAACCAAAAATACTAATCAAGAGCATTGGCACATTCGAAATCCCAGATGATGAATTTCCAAGTGTAGTCACATCATGTAACAATTCCAATGTACAATGATGTAATGTAAATCACAATGCACGTTGAAACGTCGACCTTCTAAGCTCAAAACGATCCAGAAAAGGGAAAAAAAAAAAAAAAAAGAAAAAAAAAAATTATCCCCACAAACCTGATAAGCTCCTGTTGAGTTTAAGGTAACAGTCTTAATAGAACACAGCACTTTGGTTTTCCTAACATGCCACAGCTGCAACAGCCACTCCGGCGGCCCACCCAAAGCAGCGAGGTGCTTCCCATCACAAGTATACGACAACGAAATGTACTCGTGCGATCCGGCCGAAGCACTAATCAGAGACTGCTTTTTCGAGAGCTTTGCAGCACTGTAAACACTAATCACAGGACTCGCGGCCGCCACGCTGCTGCTGCTATAACTACTATTCACGTCCTGCAGCTTCGCAATCTCGGCAACCGCCAGGGTTCGGTCATCAGGGCTGACAACAATGGCGGAGATGCCACACATGCTCGGAGAGCCTGTAAGGAAGCGCCCCTGCGCTCTCAAATCTCGTATGTTCTTCTCGATTACACAATGGCTGGCAACGTAAATGAAAGTATACCCCTCCACGAAATGAACCCCATCTCGGAGGGATCCCTTCACTCCAAATGCCTCACTTGGCTTCAACGGAATTGACAACGACGACGCCGAAGAAGCCATCGCCATGGGGAAGAGAGAGAGGGAGAGATTCAATGCTCGCAATCCTGATCGAACCCGCGACTTGCACACTCCGACGCTGCAGCGCGGGGCAAAAAGCTTAGCCAAGCTAGCAGCAGCTATTGTGCATGCGCTGATCTCAGGCTGTGTTGGATTTGAAGTCGGGGCCGGAGGACGAGGCTGTGGTGACCAGTGACCGTGGTGCTTAGTTATGGTTAGCGCCAACTGCCTACCCTCCCCCCCAAGGCTAGCAAATAGTTCTTTCACACATCATTAAAACTAAACAATTATTTATCCCTTCCTTCTTGTTATATTAGTCTTAGTTTTACTCTACTAAGATCTTGGTTTCAAGCTTGATACAATAAAGTATTCAACTCTCCATCTTCCTCTTTATTTACCATCTATTTTTTCTACCATTAAAATAAGACATAATGATACACTTAAAACTAATCTAACTGAGTAAATAAGTAAATTGTTTTTAACCGTTGTGGAGAATAAAATAAATTAAAATAATGGATGTTTACATAAATGATATTGCAACAATCTATTTGAGTATAAAAGTTTGAAATACAATGAAATAATTTACTTACCCACTATTATAAATAAATAAATAAATAAATCTTTTGGTTTTTCTTTTTTAGATATACTTAAAAGATTATTACAATATACATTTTTCAACTACGAATATATATATATATATATATATATATATTCTTTTAAACCTCAATTTTTTCCTTTACTTATTGTTTAACAAAAAGTTTTAGATGAACATGCTTTGACACACATTAAGTTTTAGGTTTGACTTTTTCTTGTGGATAATTACTTTTTTAGCAAACTTTAATCCAATAAATGTGATAAAAATTTCACATACAAATTTCAAAAGACCTCGTATTCGGCTGCCATACAGAATGGCACCTGCACATTTTCTTACTGTTACAATTTGTATTAATCATACATGCAAGTCCCACCCAGCTTCACAACAACAGAACAAATACACACTAAAAAGGTTTGAGAATAGAAAAGTCAAAAATAACCAATGTGATGGACTGCAAAGTCACAGTACGTTACAATTGACTCGCTAAATGAGTTCCAAAACGGCGTCTCAGTAGCAATCGGCTGCACAGCTCAACTCCTTCCCCGCATAGGACAAATCCCACTTTGGTCTTTGAAGCTCAATTGTGTAAGCTTAGAAAAAGTTCAATTCAAAACAGCGAACCCCTGAGCAGAGTCGACTGGTTATTCCAATATTTCCTGTGAGTGACATAGTTGTCAAGACTGCGAAGACCATGTGTGAAAGAGTTTTTCTCCACTTTGCCTAAAGAATTGCAGCTGGATGCATCAGTGGAAAGTACGCTTGTTGCAAGCTTGCCAACATGCATTTGTGAGGGCAAATGACGCGTCCCAATCATGCGGGACTTCGAACTGAGGATTTAGGACAGAACTAATGAATGTTTTGTTTCATACGAATTTGATCCCGAAGTATGCAAATCTTCCCCCCAAATGTCTCTAGATATCATCCTATACATGGACATACGTGATGGTCAGCTGAAAGATGTCATAAATATCTGCATGATACTAGATACTCTTCACTTGACGACATGAAGATGAAGGATGGCAATTTCATTATCATAAGTTCCACATGCTCTAAGAATTCCAACACTGGAGATGCTCGAGAAGTTGACCCAAAAGATCACGATTTACAAGGCACACGCCTATCAGATCAGAAAATGCTGCAGAGTTCCTGTCAATCCATTCACAATGTTGCAAGGCCAAAAATAAGTTGATCAGTGCGAAATAACTCTTGGTTATTATGATGTGCATATGTTGTCACCGTAATGTAGTGCATGAAAAACTCTGCAGACGACTTGATATGGTGCCTGGACAGTGTCTTCTCACGTGCATTTTCAGATTGCTGATCTTGCGAGACCTGTACCTCCACAGATTGCATCATTCTATGACAAGTGTGGCATTTGGATTTGAGATGAGTGAGCGATACATTCAACACTAACACCTTGCTCTGCAACTCATTAATTCAAACCTCATGTTGGATTCTTAATAGTGCTTGATCACTCTTTCCAATAGCGTTCTTGCATTCAAGTTGAGACAGGATATGCGTCAGGTTTTCTAATCTAAAGGAAGCCTCCTTTTGAGTTATCAGATTAATATTCTTCCACTGTTGAGTCACCTTCTCTGCAAAAGTTACGTGGTCCTTATCATGCTCGAGTTGCGATCTTAGGTTGCCAAAGGCGCATTGAGCTTGCTGGAGCTGTGACTGCACATGCTTCGTCTCTTTTACAGCCGTAGAAGCTTTTTTTGATGTACTCTAACCTCGGCTGATTTTTTGGCCCTGATTACAGCAACTGAAGCCTCTTGAATCCTACCTTCAGGCGCAGTCTGGATATCAGTCGTTTATATTGAATACAAAGCATGCTGATGATATTTTTCTCCCACTTCAGTATGCCGCTGTCCTTAGCAGCTGACCATCCTCAAAACTACGAAGTGATTCAATCCTCAATCCCCCATAACCGTGACGAAGCATTTTCGAAGCAGAGCTGATATGTTCAACCTCTTTATAGCTGAGAAATTCTGCGTTCAATTTCTCCCCTTGCAATTCCTCAAAAGATAATTGAACTTTGATATCTTGCCCCATGAGTATGTCAATACCTCCTCCTTGGACAACTGTTGCGTCCTGTTAACAATCTCCCAGTGGATACAGGGACTTTCAATTGCGGTCATGATTTCGAAGCTCTGCAATAGTGGCATCTTTAGCCGCTAGTATTGCTTCAAATGGATCACTCGGAGAGTATGAATCCCGCTTCATTCGTTCCACTTCTGCTCTATCAATCACCAAATAACCAATCACAACCTCCGAAATCAAGCTTTTCTTAGAAATGTATTGCTCCAATGATGATATTGGTGCATCAAGCTTGCTTATGACATCCCAAAGTCTTTCCGTGTCCGACAGCATTTCCTTTACCCGACTCTCATATTCAAGTTCTTTACTCTTACATGTATCTGTCTCCAAGACAAGTTTCGCTCTTTCATCATGCCAAGCTGTTTCATTGGATAAAAGTAGCGCCAAAGCCTTATCGCCATCAACTTGCAAATATTTCAGGTCCGAATCTTGTTGCTTGATAATTTTCTGTTCATGCGTTTGAATTGAGAGCTGTTATTTCATCTGCTCCTTCTAAGCAACCTGCAATCTGACTTCATGAGCAACCAAAATCTCTTGATAGTGTCCAACTTATACCACCTTGAAATCCTCACATGGCAATTCACCGCCTTGGGGTTCTTCAGCCACAAAAGGAGTACTGCATCTTGCAGCTCTCGACACTCGGTAAAAATAGTCGCGTCAAGCACAGTCGTTTTATTTCAATCTAATCCACGCTGTCCAACTTCAAGTATAGACAGAACATTAAGCGAAGACCTTGGTTCAAATATTTCAACTCCCAACTAATTTAGTCTAACATTCTTGCATAACTGGCATGCCTTCGCTTCGCGCACAACTCTTAATTCTCGTTCCCTCCTCTTCAACCCAAGCAATTTTTGTAATGTTCTCTCTTAAACTTTGCCACCTCCTTGGTTGAATTTGACATTATCTGTTTATCACAATGTCTATCCAACGATGTGCGCAGCTCCTGAGAGGTTTTTACACCGTCAGGCTCAGCATGCAACAATTCAGACACATTATTATCTTGTCTGCCTGAGTTCCACCTCCCTCGATTCCAGTTTGCTTCGAGCAACACATTCATCCACAAGCAAAATTTTGACAAGTACAAAACATCAAATCTATGGCATAATTACATATATATATATATATATATATATATAGTACCAATGTATTCTGTTAACAGTACCAATGTAAAAACAATAATTTAGCTTGCTAATTGAGTTTCCTTTGGTATATCTATATAATAAGTAAATAGGATACTATGAGATAATATCTCTTTTATCAAGTTTGTATTTTATGCATAATCATACATGAAATACAATAGACTAGAACTAATATTACTTAGGGATGAATAAAATATTTTATTTAAATGTTAATACAACTTAATAATAAATTATAAGTATTCATTTGGTTTCTAGGAATATTTTTTGAAAACGAAGCAATTCATAATTGCCTTCTAATTAAGGTGTAGACTAAAATAGATTAAAAATTGAATTTATAAAATTCTTAATATCAATGTGTATTTAAAACACTAAACTTATTTTTAATGTTATATTATATTTAAATTCTTGTAGGTTTGGTTGCATGCATGTATGCTAATTTTTATATCTACAAATTTCACCAAACATTATGATTAATCTTTTAACTAAGTATAAGTAACGTTATAAATTCTTGTATTGAATGCAGTAAAACTAAGATTATCTTTTCACACTTCATCAACAAGTTCATCTTTTGAATTCGTTAATGTTAATTATAACTGCAATTTAAATGCACAGTTTGGTATTGATGTTTTGAATCTACATATGGAGTAATTTTATTTTATAGTTATGGAATTTCGAGCTTTCATAAATGCAATGAAAATGTGAAATGTAGCAAGTATGTCCATTTCTGTTTTAGGAATTGTCCTCTCAAACAAGTAATTTGAATTGTCTTTCCCATGTTTAACTTGATGTAGCTAAATAGTTGATAGATTTTAGGCAAGCTAATGATTTTCATACAATAACAAGACAATAATCGATAAGTTATACTTTTGTCTATTACATGTAATTAGAAGGATTCCACGAATCCACCTCCAAACTTGACCTGCCAAAGAATACTGTCCAGGAATCCATACTCTCAACTGGGCCATGGCAGTGAAGGTTCGACAGGGTGGGAATGGAGTAAATTCCCAGTAAATGAACAAGGTAGTTCTTCGTGTGCTTTATTGCATTTGGTATGTACCCATGTCTAAATAGGTGGAGGGTGGTAAGCTTGAATAGTGACTTTTAATTTGCCAGAAATTTGAACAAATATCAAGAAAACATGAAGTATAATAAGCATGGCCAAAACAAGGTAGTCAACTGACATAAGTGTAAGGTACCAAGAAACTTGAGGTCATTTGAACATATGCTTTCCCGCTCCATGCTAACAAATTAAAGACGGCATTCACTGATGAACACAAAATTTAAAGCGTTAAAATTAAATTAAAATCCTAAATTGCTGGATCAATAGAGTCAATGCTTAGGACAAAGCTGATGACGTTACAACACTTACAGAGCAAAAACGAGAGATCGTGAACTGAAGACTCTCAGAAACCCGAATGAAATTTTTTAGTATATCCCACCAGAGCTTGACTCCCATGGTACTTGCCGTTGTCATTATCTACATGCCCGTCAACCATTTCTGTGTCTTCCGTAAGAATGATGTCTATGTCCCTCATGTCTCGTTTTAAAACTGTAGCAAGCCGTGAGATTGCCTCCGTTTGCTGCCTCAGTACCTGAAAATGATCAGAGCGACCAAATTTCTTCGTAAGCCCTGGTGTCAAGACTGTAAGATGAATAATGCATATTTGAGGAGTGAACATTACAACCCATGTCATAGTCCATTTTAATGCCACGTTCAAATACGACATTGAAAGTCAAGACGGCCATTACCTCGTGCATCTCAATAAGACTTTGGTTGTCGATCTTTCCAGGGCCCAAAAGTACTGATTGTGATCCTCCTCCTAAACCAACTTGCATCCGCGATACAGAAAGCAGTACCTCCACTCTTCGAGGCAACTCTGCACTGGCTCCTTGAAGCTGCAGTCAAAACGACAGCTCCCCGGGATTAATTTGCCGAATGACAATAACTACAGGAAGATTTCAAAAAAATATTAATAATAATTATCCTCAATCCCGACAATTTACCTGTCGTGTCAAGCCCCTCAAGTGATCACCCAAATTGGCCTCTCCTCGAGTCAGTGCCATATGCAACCCCTTGCCTTCAAGAGCTTCCACCATTCTCATAATCTTAACACACAAGGTCAACAATCAGTATCAAAAATTATGCAAGGCAGCCCACTGAAACTCTAACGAATTATAGTTTCAAGTCTTTTCTGATTATTCTAAATCGTAAGTAACCATACTGATCTCCATAAAAAATAAAAATAAAAATGCAGCCACTGAGTCCATCCACGAACTCAATCTCGAATAATCCCTCTGATAGGACAGTCATAAACGAGATTTTTTACATGTCATTCTTAAAGTAGCAATTAGTAAACAGGTGAACTTGAAATATTGAACTGCAAACACACATGTTCATATGAAGAGGAACAAGTACTTTGAGTAGGCGCCGTTGCAACTCTTGCTCCTTTTGACGAAGCCTTTGAATCCAAGGTAGAGAATCTGTTTCAAAATGACGACGGAGCTGTTGAAAGCCACCAATAAGACAATCAATAAGATAGAAGAGCACAGCCTTTAAGAACTTCATGCAAGATCTACTAACACTATTTGAACCAGCCCTGGAAAATGCTTGAGCGATAATTAACAAGAACTCAACAAGAACAAAAGCACACTATTGACAAAAAGCCAACGACAACCTGACACCTCTTGATAAGATCATCTGCTGTTAATGAGGCAGTACTTAAAAACCATAAAATGAATTTAAAGTAGAAAGATAACTTACAAGCTTGACATTAGATTCTGTTGCTTGAAGGCGCTGCACATCAGCTGTGCTTGCCTCATCCTGGAGCTGCAGCATGAAAATCGTCTTACTAGGTTCCATCGAACTTCAACTAACGAAACGCCTCTCGTAGAGAAGTCTCTAACACTAATACTATGAGTTCAGAGTACATGATTAAGGTTGAAACTGGCCAAGGCACTAAAATCTCACATTAAAAGAGCAAAGAAATAGTTCCAGATTCAATGAACTAAGACACACTCAAAAAGAATTAGGGGAAAGTTCACTCTAAGCTATTCCCAGGGTAAGAATAATTTACTCACACCATCAGAGATTTATAATGATATTTATAAGTGAAAAAAAAACTTAATAAGTGAAATGTGCCTAAATTCATGAAAACTAACCATTCACCAGCGTAAAATCTACACTTTCATGTGATCATTTGTAAATGTCAGCACTGAAGCGAGTAGGATTGAAAATGGCCTTTGCAGTTAAAACTGGAAAGTGTAATTATACCTTCATACGTCGTGAAAGATCTTTAAAGCCATGCACCAATTCCGGCCACAGGCGTTCTCTGTCCATGCTATCCAAACCTTCCAATTTGTTCATAGCTTCTGCCCACAGAATCTACATAAGTTCCCACAATCACAATAAATCACCATTTCAAGTAATGAACTGAAACTTTTGCCAGTCCGTTATGGCAACTGCCATCATGGAATGAATCGTCCAAAAACAAAAGAAAAAACGAAAAGAACACGATCAGTACTCTTGTGTATAGATGACACGTGGACGTCCGACAGAATTTCTTACATCTGATACGCCTGCAGGTTTGAAGCGTGCTGCCGGATCAGTGACGCTTAGTAGCAAATACTGAAACAACCACCAACAACATCAGCAAAAATGCATCATCCCATTTCATTTTTCTACTGTTATAAACAGTACAAATCCGTAAAACCCACACAGAGACATCAGCACTATTCATGAGCAAGATAGCTTACTAACATTACACCAAATACAATGCATATTATGTGAATGTTTTCACACCAACCTTAAAACAATCTTGAGGATTTCCTACATCGTCTCTGTAAGCATCAACAATAGCCTGAAACAGATGCCCACAGTCTAATAATTAAACAGAACTAGAATGACAAGCATGCCATTGTGCTTAAAAACCAGGAAGTAATTTTTGAAACCAGCAGCAGCTTTTCCAAGCATACTTATCCATTCGCCACAGGTATGGAAACTGTCTTTAGAGAAACACAAAAAAATGATCATCTTCCAAGAAAACTCACCTGAATTTCCCGATCAGGCAAGGGCACAACCACCGGTGCTACTGGGGCCATCTGAGTACTTATGTTACTATTGAACATATTCATCTGCTGCGTTGGTTGGGGTTGAAAACCATTTGACTGCTGCTGGCCAAACAATCCACCTGAAGCTTGGTTGACCGGCGATGCCTGCTGTTGCTGTCCCCCAAACAAGGGGCTATGTCCAGGCTGCCCAAATGTAGATGCTTGATGCGTTTGCCCAAATGCCGGTGTCTGTTGAGTTTGCCCAAAGGGCGTCGCCTGTGGCTGTCCAAAAGGTGATGGAGATTGCCCAAACAAAGAGGAGCCTTGTTGCTGACCTGACCAATAGAACTTGAACCTTCAGTCTACAAAGGGGTAAAATTGCAGGAACACAATAAACTGCCTTCTTGTTTCTGGGCTTCGCTCGAAGCATTGACAAAGGCAAACCAAAGTGGATTATTTCATTCAACTCAAAATTCACTCGGTTACGGTTGAGCAATTTACAGGTTTCAGGTTACGAACTGAAGCTAAGGACACGAGGAGAAAACCTCTTCGTCGCAATTTTGCTTGTACACAGATGATGTACTTCTAAAGCTTTAAGCAGAGAATGAAATCTGACAGCATTTTAAGCTCAATTCCACACACACATGTTAAGAAAAAGAAAATGAAAAGAGAAAAAAGCTGGTGAAAAGATGGATTTTAAAATGACAAGGCTAGGTCGGACCTGATGCTCTAAATGCAGGGGTCGAAGGAGTGGCACTGCCGAAGAGGCCACCACTGCTACTCGCACCAAACGCAGGTGTCGTCGACCCGAATAAGCTTCCACCGCCACCAAAAACAGACCTGAGCGACAACATAATCGAATATCAAACAGCTGGCTCACATGTTCGGGCTGTGACGCCCTGTGGTGGCTATCGCATTATTGATATTCAAGCTCGTCAAAGATATTGCAATTAATCTCCACCGCAATGCAATTGACCTAAAACCCTGAGCCCATACGCCCTTAAACCTCTCCTCTCCGAACCAGATCATTAAAAATGCCAGTGCCATCCTAAGATGCTGTTCCAGGAGTTCAAAATCTACTAAAAAAACCATTACGCTTGATTGCTATGGTTGGTTGACACCTGAAAATCGTGACAAAAGAGACTCATTCAACGATTGGAAAGATTTGAAGAATACTCTCATGTAAACAGACACTTGATACCATTTGCCAGAACTTCAGCTAGTTATTCAAAGTTTTAAGGTCCGACTATTGATTCATGACCACATTGAACTTCCAATAGGAAAGTTTGCGCATGGACCTATGCCTGCCAGTCACTATAGCACTAAAAATTACGTGGTCTTCTATGATCATCTTCATGGAATCGGGGACACTATCAGTTGATCGAGTTTAGAAAAAAAAAAAGCTTCCACACAGTAACACTGAGAACTACTCTCATTCTTTTCCAAGAGCTTTCCCAAGCAACAGAAAAACAACCGATAGTAACTTGCAGAGGATAGAAAAAGTTGAAGAGCCTGAGAGCTATAAACTCCGACCTGCGACAACTGAAATCACAGAGCGAAGGCTAAAGAGCATACCCGCTCGAAGTCTGGGCTGCAACAGAAGACGGCGTGGAGAACAAACCTCCCCCACCAGCGCCAAACGGCGTCGACCCCATCGCCGCCCCACTGGATTGAGCCGGAGTACCAAAAATCGACATTGCTCGCCACCTTCTCCTTCCGCACCGCAAGGCTACTTCGCTTCAGGATTGCGAGTCGGATGGAAACAAACCAGCGTTGATCGCTCAAGCAATGCCTCAGAGAAGATTAGGTTTCGTACCCATTCCGGTGGCATCCAGCCGTAGAAGAAGCTAGAAATTCACATGTCGATCACAGGGGGGAATCGGAAAATCAAACTAAGAATCCTCCTCCTCCTGCTCTTCCTCGTTGGCGCTAGAGCATGGCCGTACCCAAGCTCCAAGCGTCAGATTGAATAATGAGCAGGTCATGGCCTCGGCGAAATGCAGAGTCCGCCATAGCCAGACCTGGGCGACACAGCCCCGCGACTCAAAGGCCTCGACGAATGCCATCTTTGGGAACTTGGGGGAACGAACATGGGGAACCCTGGAAGAAGAACGGATGAACAGCCTCACAGCGAATTCAAAAGTGGATGGATGAAAGTTCCTTATGACCATTGGTCATGGATGACTTGTCACATCGTCGTTGAATCACACTTCGGAATTTTTATTTTTATCCTATTTTATTTTGTTTTATTTTATTATTCACATATATTTTTTATTTTTTATGTAAGTTTTTTTAATAGCTACCATTATTTTCTCGGAAGTCTATCGGAGGTAATTTTAATGGTGGTTCTAGTTCACTGAGTAGTATATGCATCCATAATATTGTTCATATTTTCGTCATTCTAAGTAATTAAATTTTAGAATCTAATATTGCACATATTTCTTGACACACATACTTTTTTTAAGAAGAAAGTAATATTTCATGGATGAAAAAAATAAATAAAGGAATAGGTTATGTCATTTCTATGAATAATATTTTGTATTTGTCTTAAATTTTAATCATCCTCAAAGCCTTTTACATGTAAAAAAATGCCCTTTGACAATGATGGGATCATGCATCTCATTTAAGTTTTAATATACGTGTATGTATGTATTTATGTATGTATCTATGTGTATATATACAAGTGTACGAATGTGTATGTGTTTATGTTTGAAGCTAGATTTTCAGTAAATAAAATAGATCAAGATAGTTCATTGGACAACCATTTGAAAATCACGTAAATTATTGATTACCTTCATAATGTAAAAGATACAGTTGTACACACGTTTTTATAGCATTTTAATATATAATTTAAGAAACAGACTTAAAATAAAATTGAAGTAGCACAAGTAAAAGTAAGGAAAAACTCAAAAGCTATACAGAACAAAGTTGTGGCATATAAGCATCTACATATTCTTATTTGAAAAGTTAAAAGTAGATTCAAATCCAAAAGAAATAAAAAATCAGAAAATATTTATGGAGAGTACAACGTAGTAATAGAAATTTTAAGTTTTTTTAGAAAAATGCCAAATGGTGTCAGAAGATTTTTTTGGCATGGTTGCAATAGCTTACATTTAAGCCTAATGTTTGAAACATTTTTTTCACTTACAGGACACAACTGAAGTTATTCCAAGCCTTGTCAACAATTTATGAACAAAAAAACAAAAAACACTTCAATCCTTTCACCTCAAAAGAATTCACTGGATTGTTCACACAGGCAAAAACCTACACATCACATGAAAGTTGTGTATGATTTAACATCTACGACCTCAGAGTTGTGCTACATCAAAAGCAATATTGTGACCGGAGTACGCGCACAACCCTTAATTTATACACACTTCATCAGGAGCTCAAATTTTTTTGCATTGAAGGGCCTCTGCCAGGAAATCCAAACAAACGGTTCTGGACCAGAACAGGATTACTGGAAGACAGGGTGAGCCGCAGAATCGATGCATCGCACAATTTGCTGCTAGAATGTCTCCCAGTGCAATCAGGAAAAGCAAGCTGATGGTACATTGAGGCCGATGTTTGGAATGCGCTCGCTTCAAATTGGGGATCCTCAGCAGTTCCTGAGGAAGATGTTTGTCGAAAGTGTAAATGTATGTGTGTGTATTTGTATCAAAGGTAGTTAGTCATAAACTCTAACCTTGTCAGAAAATGCAGTCGAAACCTGGATATATGATCCTTTTGAACAATATCACTGCCGAAGTTAGAGGCTTTTAGAAGACCCATATGTGCATGTGCTGAATTCTGGCCTTGCCAATGCAAAGCATTTCAAAGACCTGTCAGCAATGGTAATCCTTTCCTCTCAGTTCGATGGAAGCAGTATACATGACATTGAAGTGACTATCGTGGTTCCACAAGAATTCCTTAGTGCCCGCATACTGCTGGAAAATTCACCGCGGCAAAGTCACAGAACTGATCACGACGAGCTTAAAGCGGCGGAAGTTTATTGAAGCACATGTAAGCTCACGTGCGAGTCGGAATTATTTACAGTGCACATATTGCAATGTACCGAATCCAGGTACAACACATTTGACAAATTGTAGATTTTTAACTTTTTTGTATTTTTTCTTCCGGTTATGGATTTCTCTCGATATAGATAGCAATGCCTGTTACAGAAAATTGCATCATTTCCAGGACTAGGAATAAATTGAAGGACTCTATATGAGTCCGTAAAAAACGTACAACAGCTGAAACCAGGTTCGTGGAGATCGATCTAAACAGGACACTCTCCCGACGGGGGATTGCAATATCCGACATGACCACAATCGCTGAAATAATCGGCCACGTAACCATACAATCGTTGCTTGGGTACATACACGCACAGCCACAGATTATCATCGAACACGGATTCCCCAATCTTTCCGCCCAGGATCATCACCTCATCCCCTTGGCTAATGGTGGTGATCACCTGGTAATCAGAACCACAGCCCTCAAGCAAGGTTGTGTCGCTGAGAATAGTGGCCAATTTATCCTCGCAGTTGGAGAGACCAATGCAGTGCAAAAGTAATAGAACCACCAGAAAACAAGACCGCCATCTGCACGTTGCACTCAAATTCGTTAACTCAAACATGATGTGCGATTCTGGAATCAACCGACGCAAGCTAATACTAAACACCTGCACCAGATCGTTCGATGCCTGCAGCCTGGCACTGAACCCAATTAGAAAAGACGCGTGCTCCGTAGTCACGTTTCAGTGCCCTACTCTGACGCAACTGTTTCGACATTCCTGTGCAGTGGAGTGCTCAAGGAGCGACAGTGCTTGCACCGCGCTCACCAAGGTCGACTCTTTGACCTGAAACTTCAAACCAAGACTTTTGAAAATTTGATGCGTGGGACGGACACAACGCTCAGATTCAAGCGTACAAACTGTAGATTGATCCACAGTACGTCACCCTCGGTGTTAAGTTCCTGATACTACGTTCTCGACACAAGCCGGTAGTACTGGTACGGCTACAAATCCATGCAGTGAGTAAGGCAGTTGATTTGAAGGTCTATGGCACGATCTGAGAGTGCACGGAACTACGCACGTCACAACACCATCTTGGTGTCGCGTGAGATCACCGTCCTAGCGTAGAAAGGTGACGACTATGACCTCGACCCATCCATTCATTTCAGATCCCGAGTTCCCCGGCAAAAACAAAAACAGCTGGTTAAAAGTACCTGAAAGCCGCTTTGTCCATCACCATTGCAAATCTCTGATCAAACTCAACCCCAAACGACGTCACGAATCAATCCCAACGTCTTCCCAGCCCACCACTGCAAGTCGTCCCTAGCAATCCACAACCGTTCCCTGCCGCACCGCTCCACCTTCGCGAAAAGAAAAATAAAAACGAGGGTTTCAATATATACCTACACAATTCCCTCCCTCCCTCATCCGCTCAAATCCGCATCCCCACGACCTGTCCTTCGCACCCCGAAGGATCCTCACGTCACGGAGCGACCGCCAGCAAAGTGTCGGAGGGAATGTAAAACCAGTCCGAAGCAACAACACCACCACCTGCAGACTAGTGCAGGATGAGTGAGATTCCGAAGACCCACTGCATTGAACAGTGAGGAGAGGGAGGGAGAGAGAGAGAGAGAGAGAGAAACGAACACGACGGCAGCAACTTCCGTAGAAGCGTGCAGTAAACCCATGAAGTAGGTAGAAACCAAGGAGAAGCCAGCGATGAGCCATTGAATCTAGCATGCGCCGAAGTCAACAGCAGACCCGGCTATAGCAGCCTTTAATTAGCCGTTGACAATTATTTCACGGCATCCATCCCACAACTTACCCCACAAATGATTAAACTTCATCGATAGCCGAGTTAGACACAACAAACTTCCCCTTCGTCTGTAGAAAAAAACATTTCCTCTTAGAAATTCTCACCTTCCGGCATCTCCGAGCTCAGGTCCCACCGTCTCTCCGAGCAACCGAAACAGTGTCGATCCACACTCTGGAATCACCGCTTGGTGGCCTGTGATGTGCAGACTAGCGCTGATTTTGCTCACAACCACAATCACTGCAGTAGCACGGGGAAGGATCGGTGAGGACAGTGTGGGTTGCATCAGTAGGGAGGACCGACACCGTGGGCTGCTGCTGCTCTAGTGGATCTGCCTGCCAGTGGACTCAAGCATGTGCAGATCTACCGTGCTACCGCTTCTGCTACCGATTCTCCCCTCACACACACACTTCTGTCAGCAACGCATCGACCACAAACTGTGGCCAGGTGGGCCTTGCAAACAAAAAATAAAATAAATCAGGGGCTTTTTTGTTGACCATGGGATTGATTCGTTGTGGAGGTCTGATTTTCTAAGCTTACACAAGAGCATTGGCTCTTTAGTCCGGGGTTTGGCATTCATTCCCTTCCATGTGATTGCGGTGCTACTTTAACAATTCATTCCCTTTACCATGTGATTGGACATTTTAGATCTGATCCGTTTCACTTTGTTGTTGATGATGGTGTTGTTGGGTGGGTCATTCCACCTCATGATTATTGGCTATTGTGGGTCCAGAGTCTTCCTCGTGGCAAGGCCATTTGAGAGTGTGCTGTGCTGTGCTGTGGTGCTGGACTTGATCTTTTTGCAGGTTCCTCCATTCCTTCCCTCCCTTGCCCTTCTTCCCCTCTCTCATGTTGGGTGGGTGTGGAGCATTGGTGTTTGTCCCCCATTTGCCTTCACTCTTGTGCATTCAATTCTATCTCTCAGCATCATTATCATCATCATTGTGTTTGTGTGTGTGAATATGTGCATATTGGAGGAATGTTAAATAGACCCAAGTTTTTACTAAAGCGAACCGCCCTTCCAAACCATCATGAAAAGTAAAAATGATCTCTAGATTCATTCCTCCATTTCTGGATTTGCAACCAATAAAAAATATGGGTCTATTTAACATTCATATATATATATATATATATATACATGGGTTGTTAATTTCTTCTTTAGAGATTTGTGAGTTGTGTGATTTAAGCAATGGATTGAGTGATTGTAAACAAACATGTTGAACACTTTGAATGAATGGATGGAAAGAAGGACAACAAAAAAAAAATGGTTTGTTGTTTCTAAATTGTTCCTATTGAAAATGAAAAGTGAAATCATAAGTAAATTGACGAGTTTCAAAATATGCAAATAATGGCAAGAGAGCAGCAGTATGGTGTGTATCTAATAGATTGTTTGCATGTTTTTATCAGACATAGCATTTTAAATATATTATTGTTATTATTATTATTTGGGTGTATATTCCAAAATTAGATGGATATTAGTTAATTTAAAAAGGAGACTAATCTTTTGCATTTTAGAAATCATGGCATCTTACTCCTATTTTTTAATTTTTTTTCATTTTTTGTTGCATATTAAACATGCTGACTTCATTAAAAAAAAAAAAAAAAAAAAAAAAAAAAAAACTTGAATTTAAATTTTCTGTTAATGATCCAATAGTGCATATTTTTTCTGAGTTTTAGTAGATTTTTGCTCAATATTCAAAAGAGAAAGGTTTCGTAGGAATAAGCTTCTATATAAATTGGTTCTTAATCTTTGATTACTGTTTTATGATTTAAAATATTATTTCACCACTTTTCTTGTTGCAATTTTTTAACAAAAGTATTAATTATCTGTACGTTTAGTTTTGAAAGTATGTTTTAATCTTTTTTTTTTCAAAGTCCTTGCTAAATTGTATTTGAGCAATTATTGATGATTAATCAAACTTTGTCAGATCACATTTCTTTTTATAGTACATTTATGTCTTCCATGCTTGATTTTGGAACCATATCTAATTGTACATGTAACCATTATGTTGTATGATGTTGAAAATATATTTATATATATATATATATATATATATTAACAATATATTTCATCTACATAGAATGTACAACATGAGAATATATATACTGGAAATTAATTGTTGTTCTATTCATATCCAATGTGTTATTCCTCTGTCTTGTTAACTGGTTGTGACATAATAGTAAGGTGACAAAAAAGCTAAGCAATGCCATGCAATGTTATTAGAGCACTAATGCTTATAATAAATTGATGATTGTGAGATTAGAACCAAATATTGTTGCTCCTTCCTAAAGCATGTCAAATTTCCAATTGGTTCTTATTAAAATAAATAAATAAATAAATAAATAGTAGAGAGATGTGATTGTTTGTTCCTATGCCTTGTTGTGTCTATTTTTTTACCAAGGTGTTTTTTTAGTTGCCTCCAAGTCTTTTAATGACTTATACAAAGGTTTCAAAATAGTTGGTTAATTTTGTCAATAGTTGGTTATGTAAAAATTGTTGCATTTTTTTTCTTTTGATGTTGCTTGAATGCATTGTTGATGAGTATTGGAATCTTATGTAGTAGCTAAAACATTACACTCTTGGGTTTCTTGTAACATATCCAAATGATGCTAACATGGTATAGGTATAAGGTTGTAAGCTAAATAGATGTTTTGTTCCTTGCAGTTTTAATTGGATTGATGTTATGTAGAGTGGATTTACATTTTTTTTCTTTTTTAATTTTGATTAAAGCCCATTACCTAGGACTATATATATATATATATATATATATATATATATATATTTGTTTCCCCTTCAAGAGGGTATCTATGTTGTTTGAAAATCTCTTTGTCTGTTCTCTATTCACTTGAAACATTTTTTTTTTTTTTCAATAGTTCTGTTCTAAATTTTCTGTTTAAACTTAAGTAGGTGTAGTAGCAAAAAGCTCCAAGCACAATCTATAAAATTTAGAGTGACAAACCTTTAAAAAATATCGAACTAGAAATAGAAACCCATGTGAAAGTTATTTTAAAAAAATGACTGTAAAGACAAAAGCATGAATATTACAAAATTCAACACATCATGATAGAGTGTTTTGTAGGATTGCTACTATACTTACAACACAATCACTCATGTTGTTAAGTCAATCCTCAATTAATTTAACGCCAGAGAATTACAACAGTTCCGCACAATATGATTAATAGTATTCCATTACGCAGTTGCAACTATGGTAAAATGACATTATTTTTAACATTATGACACAAAACAAGTTTGCAATATTATTTCTAACAACAATAACATGTGAATGCATAACACTATTCCTCCGCACAATGAATGAAGATTCCAACTATGTCGCCGGCAAAGACCTCTGACTTTCTGATAAAGTATCCACTTTTTTCAGTGCATTGACCCAAATCATTAAAGCATTTTTTTTATTTTACTACGAGTCCCCCCCTTTGACCACATCCTCCACTGCCGTCCAAGGTCAGAGGATGAAAAATCCCTTTAGGATTTCATCCATCCATTCCAGCTGGACGAACTCCGGATTCCGCTGCTCTGAGTTGGATGAACGCGGTGAATGAAAGCTTGCCCAAAAGTTGAAGGGAGAAGGGAGGTGAGGACGGATGAGCACATTCGCCGAAGCTGTCCCACCTTGATTCGGAATTCGTTCATCCATGTGAGCATTGCTTTACCAAAGTGTGAATAGGATTTGGGTTTTAATAATATAATTGGCGATTATTTAGTGTTGTTGAAGTTATGATGTCTTTATTTTATAGTATCACGTTTTGTTTCCTATTTCAACTCGTTTGGATATAATAATTGATCCTCTTATTGGCTTTCATTATTTTGGGCATTTAAAAATTAAAAATTAAAAAAAAATCTTATTCTAACATTTTGTGCCTAAGTCAAAAAAATCATTGGATTTGAATGACTCTGATGTCCCTAAAATCAAGACGAGGATCTTAAAAAAATATAATGTGTTTTTAAAATAGATAATAGGATATAATACTTTTCATATTATAACTATAGAAATAGACTTTAGGTTTTTTGAGATATAATTGGAGGAAAATACCTTGTTTCATTAAATTTTAAATATTTCATACAAAGGCCTTAATAATATTTGATGTTATTTAAATTTGATCAACTTAATTAAAAAAAACTAAAATTCTACCACTCATATATATATATATATATATATATAAAGCTAATAAATAGAGAAAGAAAAAAATAAAAAAACTTTGTTAAGTAGATGATAATTTTATAAAACATTTAGAAAGCTTTCTAAACATAAAATAAATTTATAAGTGTCCTTTGATGCACCAAACACTTTATAAATAATTTACAATTTTTTTATAAATTTATAATAAAATTTATAATTTATTATAAATTGTATCAAGTTTAAGAATAAAATCTAATAAATTAATTATATTATAAAATTTGTATAAGTAATATTTTAAACAGTTTAAAAATATTACTACATCTTTAAAAAAAAAAAAATTGATTGCAACAATTATTATTTATTGTACACATACCTTGTCTATTTTGTAAAGTATATAATCATTTACATTTTATCAACTTTATTTAGATAGAATATAAAGTTTTTCTTTTAAAATTTGATTGATAAAAGAGTCATATTAATAATTATCTTTATAATAACACAAGTATAAATTTTATTTGCTTTTATTATAAAATAATATTTATCAATAATGTTCAACCTGACAGTTTGATTTCTGCATTTAGGTTGACTATTTTAAAACTAATCTTTAAACATTCCATGTTTTAGAAGCATTTCAAAATATCTTAAGATCGTACATGTGGTTCTTCTACCTTCAATATTTTTTTTGTACATTCAAATCATTGTTTAAATTCTTGTTTTTTTTTGTTTTTTTTGTTTTTTTTTAATTTATAAAAAGTACATGTTAAAAATACTACATGCATTTTAAAAAGTAAAAAAAAATACAATGGCATAAAAACCTACCATTGTTAAATATTATGATTTTCATTCTACTTAATTTAAAGAATAATTGAATAAAAAAAATATGCACTTACATAAGAACATTGGTACTATTTAATTTCTATGCATGATACTTTTCATATTTGAACACTAATTTTAAATGGCAAATAGACTACTTGCATAAATTACAGGCTTTTTTATATTTATCACAAGACCAACAAGTAATGTATCAAAAAATCACAATTATAAGCTTCAATTATAACCACGTTGTTGAAGAATGGCATCCAATAGCAAATCATGTTGAGTACAAGCCATTATGAAAGCAACGATGACTTTACAGTTGTTAAGCACAACTTGTTTTCTAGCATTCAATGGGAATAATGAGAAACTTTGTTCCAACTTGCAAGTGACGGATAAGGTGA